TTTGTAGAAAAAAACCCATTTATTTTTCTAGATAATTTATTCTGTTAGGATTTCTTCCACAGAAACTACTGGGCATGAATTTTCAAAGTTTTGTTCCTGCATTTGATTAAAAGAAAAGAAAAACCGAGCGGAAAAAACTTGGAAATCTTACGCCGAAGAAAATCTATAGGAACATAAAAACCCATTTACTTTCTTGCGCCAAATTTTACCTTAACAAAAAGACTATGAAATTGCATAATCTCCTATAGAATCGGCGCAAGAAACGAATAGAATTCTAATAGAACTTCCAGAGAATTCTCATAGAATTCCAATAGAAATTTAATAGAAAGCGCTAGGTTTTTCTGTTGAATTTTTTCATGCGTGTTATTTTGGCATACCTGTATTCAACATTTCCCTAATAAATCGTAGAATATTCTTAGAACTCGTAGGCCTATCGAAAAATGAAGAATATCCTCTCCTGTAGCGTTCATAATTAATAATAAAGGTTCGTTAACGTTTTTCAAGTGATTATTTTTCTTCATGTTGTTTTTTTGTATTCGCGAGAAAAGAAAGTTTCGACTACGTTTCAGTGAATTGTTCTACCTTGTATTTTCAGATTAATCCCATTCGATTAGTTAATATCACGTTATTTCTGATGAGCTTGTGATTGTTCATCTGAAAAAGCATGCCATCTTCACATTTATTCGATTGTTTTTTCGCTCAAATCACGATGCCATTGGACCTGTCAGATCATTATTGAGGTTAAGTATACTGGGATTGAGTAATTGGAGATGAACCTGAGGTTGAGCAGTGGCCATTCAACTAAAGCCCGGCGAAGCGTTTCGTGTAATAGTCTAACGCTGGGCTGTGAGCGCGTGACGCGGCTCAACCTCGGGTACATGTGACGCGCGTAGAGTTTATCCCAAGCTGGGGCGGAGTGGCGTATTTCTAGCTGGGATACGGGTTGCGAGGCGAGCTCGAGCGGCGTGATTTCTACCCGGGTACACGCAGGTACACGGAGAGAATAAAGTGGTAAAAATTATCATGGCCATAGGAAAGAATACTATGACAATAGATTCTAACTAACCCTACACGGAGGAAATGAAATAGTAAAAATTCCTATGTAGAAATCGGCACGTAGTAAGCGTTACTAAAAATTAGTAAGTATTACTATGGACCATCGTAATGGCTACTGTGAGGCTTAGTAAGTTTTTCAATGGTAATCAGTCGTATAGTTATAGTAATAATTACTATGTTAACATAGTACAGCTTACTATATTGCATAGTAGAGCTTCCTATATTACGTGAAATGTCCTATAATACATGATGAAATTGTTCTAAATAATTAAATATCATCAAGCCATGAAATATGAGTAGTTCAATTTTAGACACAGAAATGTCATGAATTCAAGAACGAAAATTTTTTTGTCGTAAGAACTAACGAAAGGAAGAATTCTGTTTTTGAATGAAATAACGGATTGATTCGGAGAACTCCTAATAAAGTATTCATTAAAATCGAAGTTCAATTTCCAGTTGCATTTTTATTCATATCAAACAAACTGTTTTTTAAACGTAAATAAATACTTTCTTCACACAAGTAAAGACTTTATTAGATAGAAATGATATCATTGTTTAGATGGCGAAGGGAAAGAATAGTGATGCCGCGAGAGACTTTACGAGACATCACGAGACAATACCTTGAAAGGATTCTCTCAATTTCAGTGAACACGGAAATTTTTGGTCTCGTCTCAGTCTCGAAATACGCAGTATCGACTCCTTTCGTGATGACTCCGAGTTAATTTATCTCATCTCGGAGACAAGACAAAGCGCGACAAAAACCGCGATTTTACATTAAAAATACGAAAAACTTGAGACGGAGAAGAGATAAATTGACTTGGAGTCATCACAAGACGAGTCGATACTGCGTATTTTGAGACTGAGACAAGACTAAAGATTTCCATGTTTATTGAAATCGGAACCATCTCTCCAAAGTATTGTCTCGTGATGTCTCGTAAAGTTTCTCGCAACATCACTAGGAAAGAAATTATTAATGTGTGATAATTCTCTGTTTGAATGAAATAAATTGCTTATTTGTGAACGTCCGCCTGAAAAGGGACCACTTTGTCAATAGGGAGTTATGTACACTCTGATAATATTGATAACATTCCGCACATTTTGATCCAAAAATGATCCTCATAGGGTAAAAAATGACGTCGCCAGAGATGTTGAAAAAAACAATTTAACATGGGTGTAAATGGGAGTTGCTGAGACAAAAACGTGAATATTTTGAAAACTAGGATCGACAAAGTGGTCCTTTTTCATGTGGACGTCCACATTTAATTCCAATTGATGATCTACTTCTAATGAATAAATGCATTAATTTAATTAATTATTCCATAAAATTGGAGCGTTGTTATTTAAATAAATATACAAATACTGAACAAAAATGTTTATGGACGCGTAGCGTACGACCCTTATGACAAAAATAAATGTTACTAATTGATTATTCAGCCATAATATACGGTCATGCATATATATATATATGTTATGAAGCATGTTATGGAGGGATGTTCGACCGCATTATGGCCGAATAATCAATTAGTAAGAAAAGAAACGATTTTTAATATCCAAATAGAAATTTGAATATTAAAAAAATAATAAATGTTCGTCACACTGCCAAAATATACTATAATTCCAGTAGTTGTACGAACATGTATCAGCGAGCACATGAGTCTATTCATCAAATTGCTGACGTATGTCAAGAAGGTTCCGAGGCCCCATCATATTCATTTTCATCAAAATTCGCTCAATAAATCCCTACACGGAGAAAATAAAATAGTCAAAATTGGCATGGTCATAAAAGAGAATTTCGATGACTACATACTGGCCTTACACAGTAATTCTTATTACGTCACTCGGTAAACACTATAGTGGCCTATGGAATACTCTAATATGATGGACATGGTTACCATGTCCATGGGTAATAATTACCATGCCCATGAGACAGATTATCATACCCGTGAGAAAGATTACCATGTCCCATGGTAATGCTTACCATTTTCCATAGTAATGGTTACTATTTTCCATGATAATGCTCGCCATGTTCCATTGATATTTTTTATTCAAATAGAAAATACTATGACTAGCACTCTTACCGAGAATAAAAGTGACCAATTTCCGTAAAAATTTCTGAATTTCACCAATTTGTTCTACCAATATCGAGCGAGTTTGAACATCATCAAAAAAATCATTTAACATTGATTTAAATGGGAGTTACAGTAAAAAAAACGTGAATTTCGTGGAAGCTAAAACGACAATGTGAGCCCTATTCATCTGGACTTCCGCAAAAAGTGTATTTATAAGACGCAGATCCTCAATTAGAATGAAACGAACAATTTATGTGACTCCAATAACAGAATATCAATAAAGTCTACCTCTTCGCCATCTAAACAATGATTCCATTTCTACTCAGAGAAAAATGTCCTATGTACACTATATTTACGTGAGAGAAGTAAATTATTTTCAATGCGTTCACGTTACATCATGAATATATTACATATAAAAACATTGGAAGTGCATGAAAAAATAATGAAAACAATAAATACTTGAAGACTGACGATTCTTCTACGCGATTTGCGACAAAATTATATTTGAGTACAAGAATATTTTAAAACTTACGACCTCTCTCGGGCCACATGAGTTGAAATGTCTGGGAGAATTAATCGATTGAAGAAAAAGTACTTGTCTCAAATAAATATGTTTCACATATTAAAAATTTTTCGTCAGCGTACCTAATAAAGTTTTTATTAATTAGAAACTATTCCTAATTTCTTTTACAGTATGATGTATTATATTAGGATATCTTATAACATAGAAATCTCTACCATATAATATAGCTCTACTATGTTACATAGTAAACTCTGCTATGTAAAATAGTAATTATTCCTACGTCCATAGGACCTATTACCGTTGAGGAGCTTACCATGCTCCACAGATAGTAACCATTACCATGTTTCATTCCCATGGTGGTTGTTCCCATGGCCATAGTAATATTTACTAAATTTTGCTAATGTTTACTGCATGCAAATTTTGACATAGGAATTTTTACTATTTTACGTTGTCCGTGTACCTTTAACGAAAACTTTCATCTCTCACCACGGTTTCCTCTGAAGAGAAAGGCTTCATCAAATTAAATAGTTTGTACCAATAAATCAGCTCGATAGAGAATACGTAATCAACAAATTCCGTACACATAATTTCGATAAATTAACGAAAAAGTGGTCAAACATCAATTCCATGTTTTGTAACTAAAATTGCCTCATTCCGACGTACATTCAGTAACTAGTTAACGGAGTAACCATGCTACTTGAATTTATACAATATACATATGAACCGATGGATTTCACTTCATTTTCCTCTCTCGTTTTCCTATAATTTCAACAATTTGAATGGACCTCCACTGATTGAGATATGTTTAGAATTCACAGAGTTTCATAGGATTGAAATCCTCTATCTTGAAGCTGATCAGTATCGCATTCAGACTGTTTGATCAAGTACATTTCATCATTAGGTCCACAAAGTATTTTCGAAAAAATGTGAGTTTATACTCGCCTTCGACGTGGATTCTAATCACATTCATCAGGGAATACTTTATGGACAGTGGGTTGTAAACTATTTTATGTCACAGGCCCGAAAGGCGCGATATAGCCGAGCAAAGCGAGTTTGGAACCGCGGTTTATCGGGCCTAGTAGCATAAATCCATACCGCTATATCAAATGTCTGCCGGACTCTGGTTCAAGCCCACCTTAGCTAAATTTCAACTCGAGTTTCTCTAGTCCTTTGTCTCACTGCTTCTCTTTATGTTTCTGTTCCACAAAACCATCAGTGTCTGTGATACTGTGATACGGACTGACGCTTTCTTCAAAGTTTCAAAATACTGAACAAACGGGTTGTAGAACTTGGAAGGCTATCGGCAATGAGCCAGACAATGGTAGAGGTATCATCAAAGAAGAGACACAAACCTTCAGTCTTCCGGCTTCCAGTTTTATCAGACAATAGTCGGTTTTTCCAGCTGCCAATAGAAGAGTTGCATCGGATAGATGAGTACGAAAACGAAAACTTATGTCGGTACCGCCCTTCGCCTCCTGCACTGGAAAGTGAATGTAGCTTGCGCCATAAAGCGATACTGAAATCAAATAAAAAGGGTTTTATTGCATTTTTATTTCGGACTTTTTTTCAACATCGCCATTATTTTTGTATTCTTTATGACTTTCTTTTTGTTTGCTTTATGGCATCCTTTTATAGCCCTTGAATGTTTTTTTTTTGTGAAAGAGGTTCATGTGATTTAGATAATATTGCATGAAGCGGGAATAAACCGTGTATTCCAATGAAACCGGCTCAAAGACAGGTTCCGGAGATGATTATAGGGAAGAGTGAACAGGCGGATTCTACATCGAGAGTCGATAAAGCGGGCGACTTTTTCCAATAGTACGGAATCAGGGGAAAAAGCTCCTGTCCATTCACAGCACGTCTTTTGTACTTCTACCAGGGGTACTTTTTTATTTTTCAATTTTATTTTAAACTCTCATCCGTTTTGTGGTAATTCGCGGGAAGTAGAAGTCTTTTATTGAGCATTATCGCCTCCTTGATTCGCTTTTAACCGTGCGAATTGCTGGGTATTCTCAGACAAGGGCGTCTTGTTAGAGTTTTTTTTTATCAATTTGGTTTCAGGAAATATGTTAAGTTATCAATCGACAGAGTTCAACACTTTGTTAAGGGTGGACACTACTGAAATTTGAAAGTTATGGAATGAAAAAATGACTTCCGTAAGATTCACATCACATGTGTAGTCACAAAAAAAAATGTTTTGACCCATCTACGCCCATTCAATATGGGAGGAGATTTCACTTCGTGTCCATCAAACGCCGTTTATGAACACAGTGAAGAAAAATTATGTGCCTCACTCGGCGGAAAATAACTTTCTGACTCGTGTGATTGCATTCCTCGGCTTCGTCTCGGGTTGCAACCCTCACACTCGTCAAAAACGTTTTTTTCAGCCTTGTGACGAAAATAGCTATTTCATCACTGAGTCCCGCTGTTACCTATCGTCCTGTTTTGCGGTCGAAATCGCTTTCTTTCACTGCCACACTTGAAATGCGCTCGTAGCGGTAAGCGCCAACGTGGTAACAGCGCGCTTGGTTTAACCCAGTGGCACTGTGCTAACCGTGGAACGGATGAAGGCTACCGGTCGAGCGCGAATAATCGAGGGTTAAGATGTCAAGTTCAGACTGGAAAATCTTAAGTTGAAAACTGAAAGTACTCAAGACTTCCAAAGACTTAAGTACTTTCAAGACTTGGAAGAATTCAAATTAAGATTTTTAAAAAATTTAATACTAAGACAAGCTTTTTGGAAGCAGAATTTGTTAAAATTTTTTACATTTTTCCAATTTTTTGAATGGATTTTGCGGTAAATTGAATAACACAAAGTCCAATCCGACGGATATATGTAGATTTGTGCAGGAGAGGATCCTGTATAATAAGAGGGACGCATCGGGAATATCGAATGAGAACTCGAATGGGCGGGTGGTATACTCACATCCGAAAGTTGAATGAAATTCCAACCAAAAATTGGTTGATGAAAAAACGTTATTGGCGTGCAAGAGTCAAACGATAATATGGATGATGAGGAATTTTACTCCCAACTGATCAAATCTTGTGTGAATGTTGGGAGAAAATGAATGAAGAATTGTACGTTAAATTGTTTCAGAGTCCGTAAAACGCGCCTCCAATAGTATAAGAACACAATCTGAACTCTCCGAATGTAAGAAGTGCCTAAAAGCAGCGTTGAAATTAATGAGCAATCTGCTTTATCTACACCGCAAGCGGATGACCGTTGGCCGATAAATCAGGTAGGGGAGGGTGGGGCAAAACGGCCCCCCTTCAATTGTCAATAACTTGTGAATGACATTGTGAAAATTCCCAGTTTCAACTTCATTTTGAAGATAATTTTTCATTCTTCAAAACGAGCTCTAACTCATCCCAATCGGATTATTGAATCGGAAAATATTGACGATTGAAGGGGGGCCGTTTTGCCCCATCCTCCCCTATCTCTATTATCTGGTAGCCTTCAAGTTGGCAACGCTCAATGAATTCAAAGGGTCCGACTACATCTTCGAGAAGATAATTAAATGGAATTGATCATTTCAATGATTTTTGCACCTGAGTGGAAGCATTAAGAGAATAGAAAGATCACAGACTTTACTTTGGAGTTATAGAAAAATCCCAGACTTCACTATGCCCTGGCGGACCTGTCGTTTCAGAGAACCGATCTGTTCAGTATGTCGATAACCCTTAGATTGTTAGTCGATGGAAATTTTTGAAATTACCATCGACTTACAATCGAAGGGTTATCGACATACTGGTAATTTCAAAAATTCCCATTGACTAACAATCGAAGGGTTATCGACATACTGAACAGGTCGGTTCTCTGAAACGACAGGTCTGCCAGGGTGGGGTTATCGAAAAATCCCAAAGTTAACTCTGGGTTGATAGAAAAATTCCAGACTTATCTCTGAGTTTGTAGTAAAATCCGAGATTTACCTCTGAGTTTATAGAAAAATCCCAAATTTAACTCTGGGTTTATAGAAAAATCGCAGAGTTAACTCTGGATTGATCGAAAATTCCCAGACTTATCTCTGGGTTTTAAGAAAAATCTTCGACTTGATTCCGGGTTTATGGAAAAATCCCACGCTCAATTAATTGAAAGGGTCCGACTACATCTTCGCGAAGATAATGTAAGGGAATTGATCATTTGAATGTTTTTTAATAATAGATCTACTTCGCGATTGACTTCAATTTTTTTATGAGTAAGGAAATCCAATCATGTTTTACGGTGTGGTATAGACCACACTATCGATTGAACAATTTCCAATCATCAAATTCATTTTTAAAAAATCACAGATATTTAGCGTCATCCAAATTACATTTTGCAGAGAATAATTTTTCCAACCATCCTCTTCTTATAAATGAATAATTTTTACTGTTTCAACTTTCGGAAACCTAATTTTTTTAGGATTCCGAAAAACTCATTTTTATGGTGGAAAATTGATTGGTTATACATGATTCAGAAAAAATGCTCGTAATTTCTCAATTATTTTATCAATCTTCTTCCAAAAGTAGACTTTCTAATTTATTTTTCAGAGTTAAAAAATGTTTGTTAACGGTTTAAAATCAAGAATCAATCAGACCTTCAATGCTTATAGCGCTTTTCTTTGCACGTTTTTTTAGAGTGTTCTCGGCCATGTTTCTGCAGCACGACTTTTTTTGTTTCAAATTTAGACGTGTTTCTGGAAAATTGAAATTTTCCTAAAACAATTGAACCCTAACAGGCAAGGGGGGGTGAGGGGTGGAGGTTATTTCAGTTCTCCAGAAACACGTCAAAATTTGAAACAAAAAAAGTCGTGCTGTAGAAACACGGCCGAGAAAACTCTAAAAAAAACGTGCAAAGAAAAGCACTATTAAATAATGCAATCACTGTACAATGTCCGGAAACTTAACATTGAATAGGGCTCAAATGGAAGCCAAAAATTTTCAGAAATTCATATCTGGTGAAACACTTTTAATTGGAGCGCTATGGTGTTTTCAGGAGAGTTACATCTCGTTTATAATAATATGTAAGTTACAGGAGTAATAATGAGCGGAGTAATCTCCCAGGGTCAGATCAGGAGCTTGACTCAGACGAGGACAGAGACATCGCACGTCAGGCTGCTGCAGGTGTGCCGGAATTGGAGGAGCTGAATGGAGATGAAGGTTTCCTGATGGAGGAACAGTTACTGCAGGTTGATGTGCTCGAAGCAGTAAGAGAGAGAGCAAGAGATGGACTCGTTGCAGATAATCCAAGAGATTTTCAGAGGAATGTCCTTGGCAGGGACATGCTTGTTGTACCCAACGGAAATCTGCTATCCCCTGCCCCTGATCAACAGGTCGTACATCCAATTCAGAATGAGCAGGAGAATCCCAGGCCCCAGATTGAGGAAAATGGTAATGGTTATAATTCATATACAAAAAAAATTTCGATAGACTGTTAGAAAATTACCCTTGAAATTTCAAGTAAAAAATCTTGAAATTTTTGACAAACAATAATTTACATGCAATTTCCATTGACCGTGTTATTGATAAATCAATCAATTTCCTTCAATATTCAATGAGATGTTCTTCATGACTGTTCTAGATCTGTCATGTCTTCTCTCTGTTCCTCGCCCTCTCATTTTTCTCATTGAGAACTCGACGAATTCTTTCTGCCCTCTTCTTTCTCTTTGCGGAAAATTCTCAATTCTTCATGGATTATTTTTCTACATATCAATAATATTTTAGGAGATCCCATACTACAGTTGTCTATGGAGTGCGCTATCTGTCGAGACAGACAGATAGGCTGCGTGCTGACGAACTGTGGACATGGAGTTTGTGCAGAATGTGCAACTATGTTAAGAGCACGTAGTGTTGAGGAAGGGATTCCCTTCCAATGCCCTTTGTGTAATGCACGAATCGTTCAGGTAATAAGGTTTTTCATTCCTTAGATTAAATAAAAATCTATGGAGACTAAAATCATCAAAAGGACTCGTGATAACAAATAGGTTTTGATCTGCATAAAATGTGTCTCAACTGATTTTGTATATGATTTCTACTGGGAAAAACATTATCAAAAGGAGAGAAGAAGCTATTCGGTGAAGTTTGGAGGATTTGAGATTATTATGGGTTAGTGCGACGGCTTGATTGCTTTTTGTATTAGTGTTAATTTTTTTTTTTTAAACCGCCGAAGGAGAATACTTGTTTTTTCCTATCTTTGTCGTTATACAACAATGTAGACAATCATTTGATTGTCATATTTTTTTCCATGAACAACGTAGAACTTTTTTTTTGTTCACGGCAGTTTATTTTTTTTTATTCGTTTTTTTATTCTTTTTTTTAATCGCACATGATATAATTCTATTGGTGCCTCATCATATCTACTGGAAACTTGGATTTCTCCATACTTTCTTTAAACAATATTTGAAAAATGTTTGAAGGGATTTCCTTCCAATGCCCTTTTTGTAATGCATGAGTCGTTCAGGTAATAAGGTTTTTCATTCCTTAGATTGAATAAAAATCTATGGAGACTAAAATCATCAAAAGGACTCGTGAGAACAA